CCTCACCGCCGGGTCCACCCCCCCCCCCCCCCCTGTAAGTCATGAGGTCTCTAACCATTGAGAAAGATTGCATTGGGCATACAAAGCAGGGGTAGGAGGAGAACTGGCAGGGAAACACCCTGGATACTGTTTATTTCTAGTGTTCCCCAATATAGTAATATCATTTTGTGTATTAATATTGTTGAAAGGGTTAAAGGGATTAATTCTGCCCGTTTCACTAAAAGCAGCACATTCTCCCAAGACTGCCATCCAAGGGAGCCAGAACTCCAAAGTTGATGAAGTTACTACTTGTACTGGGGAATTTCCCAGGAGAAACAGCTGGAATAGTAAGCTCCAATATTGTTTTATACACTTTGCCTTCCTAGCTCTGTCCTCATTGGCGTTGGTTCAATATGCTTTCAGGCTGCTTATGATGATGGAAAAGTGTGGCACTACTCCAGAGTTAAAAGGATAAAGTTACCTCTAATGTGAGGAAATGTGTTCACACGTTTAGAGCCACTGTGCTTCCTGATTAGTTTTGTGTTTTACTTTAAAGCTTATATATTAACACAGCACAAAGTACAATGGGTACAATAGCCCATGACAATCTATCTACATTCAGCTTTTAGCAGCAGATTAATGACTGCTAATATCCCATAGGTTTCTATGGTTTCCTGAACAACATATGATATAGTGGATATAATAAAAACCTGACTTAATGAAAGTCATAGGTGGATAAAGAATTCAAACAGCTACAATATGTTTAAAAAGGATATAGAGATATAAAAGATGCCAAAGAGAGGATGGGGTGTATCTGATAGTAAAATCTGTGTATAAAGATGTATGACGATTTGGAAACTTTATGAGTAAGTTCTCATAGCAATGTTATTTCAATGTACCTTTTCAGGCTTCTGTTAAAGTGACACTAAACTCAGGAGTTATATCTTAAAAATGCATTGAAGTACCCAAACTATTAATAGAAATGTATCTTATTTGTGTATCACTCGGCTGTAGATCCTCCAATCATCTCTGAATTCCTCCTGACACACTGACACTGTCCTTCTTTATGGAGGGTGGCTACTTTTGTTCCCCATGGTCCCTGTGTGTGTTGTAAAGTAGTCACTGCTCCAAGCTCGCTCCGGTGATGGACTACAATCTCAATACAAATGAGTAAACTGAACGTGAGATTGCAGTCCATCACGGGAGCGAGCTTGGAGCGGTGGCTACTTTACAACACACACGGGGACCATGGGGAACAAAAGTAGCCACCCTCCAGAAGGAAAGACAGTGTCAGCACCAATTCAGAGATGATTTGAGGATCTACAGCTGAGTGATCTACATTTTGTTAACAGTTAAGGTTCTTGAATGCATTTTTAAAATTTAACTCCTGTGTTTAGTGTCGCTTTAAGAAACCATACATAAATAAATATGTATAATCTGTTCAAATGAAATAAATGGAGGGAAAACTCTTTCAAATTTGCTTATTTCTAATAGATCAAATATTATATCCAATGTGCAGGTCTGGAAGAATTTGTGCAACAGTGACCAACATGTGGCAACATTTTAATTGGTGTTCAATAAAATATACATAAACAGGGGCACTACAAGTACTAGAATGGATTTCAGTAGAAATACACTATTTGGTTTGCAGACTAGACATTTGTTGTTTAAGTGAACTTTGCTTTGCCTACAATGCTCTGCCCCCCTTCATGGATTGACCTTTTCTTCGCTCCCCCAACTCTTTCCACAACCAGTAACAAAGGGAAATTTCCAGTACTTCCATGTATGGCAAGCATGAGGTCACATATCTTCCTCCCACTTGACTGCACTGGTACTTAGCAATTGGCCTCTTAGGTGTCAACGTGTGACAGTGGGAGTAGCATCTGCTTACACCCACAGAGACGGCTGTAATTGCTGAAAAAGTGTTAGCTGGTGTGAAAGATCTGAAAATGAGGGTGGTAGTGCACAGCAAACCTGTGAGTTGTCAGCCTGCAACAGGATTTTTTGGGGAATTTTCAGGGTCTTCAAAGGAATAAAACATGGGGATATGTGCATGTATTGCAGAGATGTGCTGCATTTTTTTTTTTTTTACCTTGACATACACTTTAAGTTAGTAGTAAGAAAACATAAGCTGCAGGGAGCCTATATGCAATACTAGTCTTTGCCCTCTAATTGCCTTTTTTATTGGGCACATCTAATACAAATCAGGTCTTTAATTTGTTTTTACATAAAGTCCATTTCAAAACTACAAGTCTGTCTAAGATAACCTTATCCACAGGGTAAAAGAAACAGGTCACCAGCACTCGTTTAGAATAAATATGTCCTTTTTTAATGGACAATTGTGTCACTACAATCAACAGAGCCGACGTTTCGGGGCCGCACAGTGTCCCTTCTTCAAGGCAGTAAAATTGTGACGGTCACAATTTTACTGCCTTGAAGAAGGGACCCTGTGCAGCCCCGAAACGTCGGCTCTGTTGATTGTAGTGACACAATTGTCCATTAAAAAAGGACATATTTATTCTAAACGAGTGCTGGTGACCTGTTTCTTTTACTTCGTATTTTGCACGGTGCCATCCGTGATAGTCATTGCGAGCACCACCGTTCTTATTTGGCCAGGACTGCTGTAAGGTGTGCGGAGAGGACACCCACCACCTGAAAACTTATTCACAGGGTGACAGCACTGCTGTGCATATTCACTGTCCAACAAATAGCATTATCACCCAACTACAGGCAGTGGAACAAATAATGGATCTACTGGCAGGATCAACAGGATCAACAGGTAATTAAACTATGGTACAGGGTGTGCTCAGAAAAACAAACCCAGCTGTGTTAATGCTAGTGAGACACTGCATCATATATGTCATTTTTTAATTTGCCCATAGTTCCACTTTCATTTTAAAATGTTAGTTGCATTTGCAATCACCATCTCTAGTTCCCTTTTTTCCAAGTCTGTGTGAAAGGTGAACCAGTGCACTCCCACACCAATGCAAGGGGAACATACAAACATCATGAAGATAAAATACCTGGTTGGTATTTAACCCAGGATCTCAGGAGTTGTAAGATCACATTCCTTACTGCTAAGGGAACATGTTGCCCATTGTAATTAAGAAATGTTTTGAAAACGTATGTGTGTAGACAGTCTAGATTGGTTACCCTGACTGTACCTCTCTTTAGGATGGCGCTGTCATGTGGAACCTTCCCACCGGTCTCCAATGTGGAGCAGTTCCAGCGCTGGCCTTTCAATTGATGCTGACATTCATGGATGGCAATCTGGATGCCCTGAAGTGCTGAAGCGGTCACATCAGGGTTCCGCACACAGAGCCCCATCTGGCGTTTACTTAAGCCTGGAAGCGTCAAGCAGACGGTGTTGGGAGTCAGTATGGGCTCATTGGGTAGCTTCAGTCCCAAGATATCGTTGCACAGAACTCTGGAGAGGAAAAGAAAGAGGAATAAATATGGAAATTATACAAGAACACAAAATATATCAGCAAATCTGATGAGCAATAGGTATTCTCATTTTGTTGGCTCCTGGCCTTATATAACCTTGGTAATGTGGTTATAGAAAAAGATCACCTGAGATGGGCCTGATTCCATAAACAATGGAGACTACTTAGGCAACATTCCTCTTTGAAAGGTGAACTATATTTTGAATTCTAACCCTAAATACATATATAAACAATAAAACAGTGCACTACGTAACCCATTTGTTCATTAATGAAAACTGACATCATGCTAAGAGCAAGCAGCTTTACAGAGTATTTTCATTTCAACAGATTGTAAAAGATATATATCAAAATTAGTTAGCTCTGAAATGTGCTAATCATGGAGAATCTGCTACATGTTTTATCAAATTTGCCCAGACACTCACATCCCATGCACAATAATGTATGGAAAGATATGACGTTAATATGGTTTACCATTCTTGAAGAGCTGGGAATCATAGATATCCTATCCCAAGTATGCAGTTGACTCATGAATATGCATAGGAAAGCATCAGCCTCTTAATCCTTTAAATGTTGAATTATCTATGGCATACAATTTCTAAAATGTATTCTTTTAGAGAGCAAAAAACTGGGAAAAAATGTGATATTTAGTGGCTAATAGCTGCACATATATGAGAGGAAAGGTACAAAGGTTAGTATAGCATATGAAGAAATAATGCAGCTGCCGTTGCTGACTTCCTAAATCTTTCACTGACCTGGAACAAGTATACAGATCGTCAAAGTTGGAGAATAGCCTAAAGTTTATATCTGCCTACTTGTTCTAGGTCAATGGTTTAAGTTTTTGAATTAGAGCTCAGCACCAGGCAAACATTTTTTGCTTTACATTTAATTTTGTTTAGATTAGAGAAGTGTTAGAGCAGCTGTAAGGTTTTTGAATGCCACCTGTGTCCCCAAAGGTCATATTCACCCTTTCTTTTTTTCACTGGGGAAAAAGTGATGAAGAATAAGAAATATTACAGTTGTCACTATAACAGACATAAAGTGGAAAACTTCCAATGAGAACATTGAGGTATTTTCCCATTCTTTGAAGATAATTCTTCTAACTGTCTATTGTGTTTCAAGGACAAGAAGCGAGAGGAATTACCCCAAAAAGGCAAAAACATCAAAACCGGCAAGGGTTTTACCCATCAAAAAAAAGGTTTTGGCTATAGACACATTTTAAGAAAGTAAGTATATAATCCAGGCATCTAGCATTTTTAGAAGAGGTCAACAGAGGCAGCCTACTGGACTGTCTCAGAATTTAAACTATATCATGGAGTTTTGCAGACATATTGTGGAACTACTTGCTGGAATGTTTGTTCTAGGACCCTGCACAGGAACTGTGTCGGCATTGTCAGAAGGAGTGATTACCTGCCCAACAGTATATGCATAGTTCCAGCAGTAGCATCACCGCATAGGCAGCAGCACAGGATCTCTCTCAGGTTAGTGTACGCAGAGATTCTGTGCTTGTGTTTTTTTTTTTACTGCCACTGACCACCACTGATGCTCCTGTTGATCACCAATGATTGGGGGTGGATCTTATTGACACTTACTGCCAATGCTTTGGGGGGTGGTAGTACTGTTGCCACTGAACACCAATGCTTTGAAGGGGCAAAACTTATTGCCACTGACCACCAATTATTTTTGGGGGAGGAAATCCCATTTCCACTGACCACCGGTGCTTTGGATGAGGGTAGATTGTATTGTCTCTGACCCCCAATATTTTGAGTGGGTGGTATTTTTTTTATTGTCACTGACCAACAATGTAAGGGGGCGCCATGTTGAATACTCCTGACTTGCTATGGGATATCTTTAAAAAAAATAAGTGATTGTGTTGAGGTCAGTTGGAGATGGTTTTGAGTGAATTCACAGGTGCATCTTTAAGGGGGATCCTCCAGCCAAACTAAACCTTAGGGATGCACAGATACTTTTCGAGTACCAGTGCAGATACTTGGCATTTTCATGAGAAATACCAGGGTTGCAGCTGGGACCTGGCTCTGGCACTCCACCACTGTCCTGAAATCATTAGTCTGTATTGTTTTAGAAAAACTGTCACATGACAATAAACAAAAATTTATCAGTACTTGTACTTGTAAGTACTCGGCAAGTACCAGTACTCGTACTCGCAAAACTGGTATCTGTACATCCCTTTATTTATATTTATAAAAACAAAATCGTACATTAAAACAGAGATGTACACATCCCAGGAGCTCCGTGTGCTCCTTACAAATGACAGCTGCCTCCTAATTTTTTTTTATTTTTCTCTAGTGTAGTCTTGGAACTCAAAAGTATCAGTACATGTACTCGCTGATGTTTTGAGTAACTGCTTTACATTTCTTAATTAAGGAAGAGCATATCATACCTTGGCAATCAGCTACATATAATTTCTATTTAGATTAAAATGCTAATTTACATCCCTGTTTAGCAGAAGTAGATGAAACCATTAGGAGCAGGATAGGACCTGTTAAATACATTGGTAATCAATAAAAATGCAAGGCCTGAAGAAATTTACATTCCAGTGTATGTTCTCTTCCATAACTCTAGGCACTTGTTTTATTTGCTGCTTTCTGATCCCAGCAACATACATGTGGAGGAAGGTTTAAAGAATGACTGGCATTGCACATTACTGCATAACATTCTGTCTAGAAAGGGAACATACAAGTGAGGGTGTGGGGGCAGTAGCAAAAGAGGTGACCCATCTCTCTCACAGTTGTGGCTGATATAGAGTTAAACTACAGTGTGTTCATCTTGCCCTGGGTGGGGACAGAAGACTCGGCCGCTGTCAGAAACTCTGTGGGACGCTCCCTGCAGGGTGGGAATATATTTGTCTTCACTTTGGAGCTAGGGCTCAGCAATTTCTCTTCAGCTGTAGGAGGGGCAGGAAAACAGAACTCGGAGCCAAGGGACCAAACGACAGATCAAAACATGCCCATGCTGAAGGGAAAATAATTCGTGTTTTATAACCTCAGCAATAAAAGTAGGCTTTTCCAAAACAGCAAATAAGAAGGTAATAAAAGATACACAGCTACACATTATTAACAAATGTGTACTCAAATAAAGGCAGAAAATATGTATGTCAAAAGAAGCAGCTTTATAAGTAAAAGTATAATTGATACCCCAGTGATAAAGTTCAAAGACAGTCACACTACAAAAATGTCAGCATTTTAGATATGTATAGGGGCCACATCATTATGGGGCTCAACGACTAACTGTTTTCACAGGACCGCTACTTGCTACTCTCCCCATATAGAGAGAACCTGTCATATACACAATTACTTCCTCCTGTCAGGACAAAGTAGGAGCACAGGTGGCAAAAGTGTTCAGGCCAGTTCACAATATGGCCATTTAGATGGAGCCCAGGGATGCAGGGGAAATTACTCTTCAGGCCTTGCAAATGAGATGGCAGTGATTGCCTTGTACCAGACAGCTCTATCCACAAAGATTAAGTCGGTCCATCTGCATATTGGACTAATCCGCCAGGGTAAAATCAGAGAGAGAGACTTAAGCAGAGACTTGGCCACTTGGAAGCTCTAACTACAGAGCATACTGTGTCTATTTGCTCCTTACAAACTAAAGTTAGAATACTGGAGTTCCAAGACAAGGATTCTGCACTGCAAAAGGGAGTAAAAGGTACAAGCCCCACCCTGTTTGTGGAAAGCCTACGGCAGCAACTTTTTCTGAAGGCCCAAAACCCCTCCATATTTCACTGTGGAATCTGTCCAAACTGCCCACCACAGGGGCTCCACCAATGAGGAGCTTCGGGCAGCAAAAATGGGGGTGAGATACGCTTGCAAAATGGAACCTTCTGATCTTTCCTGATTACTTCTTGAGGCTCAAAAACTTCTGAGATTTCTCAATGCGGTCAAAGCTTCACTCCTGGGCAAAGGGATCAAGTATAGCATGCCTTTTCTGGCAAAACTGTGAGTCCAAGATGGTCAATCCACCAGATTCTTTTCAACATCTAAGAAGGCAACTGTGTGACTAGAGATGTTTCAATCATGAAGGTAAACTTCTAATTTTCTTTGCGCCACTCCACTTTAGGGATTCGCAGCCTACCCACAATAGGTGCTTAAGGACACTAACACCTTATCCTGATCTCTTTTCAGCCTGATGGGGGAAATACAATGGAGAGCTACTGTACACCTGCTCTTCATTTAATTATGTAGGCACATCTCTCTACTATCACGCTTGAGGCTCCAAAGCTTTTTGCCACTTGGCCTATGATACCGGAACTTTACATTGGCACTCTCCCTTATGATCCATGCGGTGGTCGTGGCAAAACTTTGTAAGGCTGCGAAGATTACTGACCTAATGGGCCAATATGGGGTTTCTTATGGCTCAGCTTACAAATGGACTCAATGCTTGTACTGCAGTGGAACCGTAATGGAATACCCATTAACCTTTGCTCCTAAGGATTCATTAGTGATTTCAGCCAAGATGACTTAGTATCTGCAAATTAACATGGTTCTTACCTCAAGTTTGTAACGTTCTATGGATGTGCCCTGAGCCTAGCTGATAATTCATCAAATATATATCTGCCTGGCAGCAACTCTGGCATAATGGTACATTTTTTAAGGATTTTTTTTTGTTCATTGCCTCCATTTCTTTTCAGCTGGGATGTAATCTGGGACTGAAACATTTCCAAGTTATTCAGGAAATGCAGAGGGGGGAGGGGCGGTGTAGTTGCTAATTGGCATTGTTTACTGGGTTTATGTTATCTTTTTGAACATTTTTGATTTCCAAAACCGTGGCTTATTGATTTACTATATATAGCATGGATGGTACAATGTGCAATGCAAATGAGTTCCCAAGTTCATGTTGTGGGGCAGTGGGGCAAGGGAGTAACCTTTGGAGCTCTCTCACCTCAAGTATGCCTTCCATTTCCTATATACAATTTGATTTTCAATCTTTTTATTGACTGGTTTGTCCATAATCTCCTAGAACA